TTCCCCCCCCCCCCCCTTTTGCATATGTAAATAGGTCTGGCCAAACATAACAGCATTCCCTGCAACTGCCATGTAATGAGCAATTAGCAGCAGCGCAAACATAACAACAAATACTCACTACAGATCTTTATTCTTCGTGGAACCTAACAAACGTCTCGAGTGTAACAGGGATCTGCCCCTTATAAGGAATCTTGTACTTGCAGACAGCAGTTGCGGCCAGACATCGCAGTGTGACATAGTTCACCAGATGGACAGTATTGAGAGGATTAACTGACACAAACGTCGCCGGACAATCGCCGACGCGGTTCGGCTGATCCAGGTGAGCGCCGTGATCCAACAGCAGCTGTACCAACTACGACACAGACAAAGATTATAAGAAGACATATTCAGAATTATTCTTGTGCATAACGCTATGACAATGACAGAATATCAAGGTTAGGTTCAGTCAGGATGTCAGGATACAGAGAGTTTAACCCTACAAAAAACAAAAAAACTGTGCATGTGTGTAACATGCATAAAGAACTTACTGGGCTATAGAAATTGTATGGGTTTGCTGCGACATGAAGAGGGGTAGAGCGAGATTCATTGCGAGCATTCACTGGGGCACCACATTCCAGAAGTAATTTAATCACATCCATGTTTGGGAAGATGATCTGCAAGTACCACACACAAACATGAACCTTGCAATCTAATTTTAGTCATACAAATGTCAAATATTTGTTCTGAACTCAAATCAAAATCACACTGAAATTATCTAATCCCTCAAATGTTCACAAAATAAAAGTCAGTCTGTTGTGACACAAATTATTCATCAACAAATATTTTGTTCCCGCACGTACATATATTCTGAGTCCCGACAGCGAAATAACTTGCCACCGGCTGAATGACCTAAATTTAATTCCTGGGAAGATAACCGCCACGTCCAGACCTGTTCTGAGGTCCACTAAAACAATAAAAAAATTTCTAACAAACCTGTTTATCATCTAAGTAATATGAGCTCTTGATGGTATTAAGACGCGACACGCACAGATGGAGTAACGTGTCGCCAGTGTATGCAGATCGAGGATTACTTCTGATGAGTGCAGTCACCATTTCTTGCATCTGCTCCTTTTGCTCATCGGAGCGTGCCGTCTCCACAAGTAAATATATCAAGTGCGTAATGCACTTTAGTATCCGATCATAGCTTTCCTGTTGCCGTTTTTGCACCGGCCGTACCTGAAAAAAGTGATGAGGGGCTTGCTACTTGCCAGGTTGTTTCGATGTATAATAAAAAAAAACATGTAATAAGAGATTCAAGGCAGAGAGGAAATTCCATGCCTCTGCCAGTGGAAATTAATTTTTTGTACTGCGCTAGATCAGAGACGAAATAAACTGTAAGGAATTGACAGCTTAAATTAAATGTGACATGTTACCTCGATAAAACTGAACAGGAACAGACAAGAAGGATACTTTAAAGGTACAAGTTTCTTTTTGAGCATTACTAATAATATGAGAAGCCACTTCCGTTATATTACAATTTACTCTCTCAAATACACAGATATACTGCAAGATTCATACTGAAAATTTTAAAAAAATCTTGAAACGTTGGTGTTTTCACCTTTCAACTGCCTGACATGGCTAGGAGCCCAAGAAGAATTCATCATATTTAGTCGCTGTGAAAGCTCCTGTTCATACAAGTGTCTCTAAACTTCCACTGGACATATTTGCTCATAACAAAAGAATTTCTTACTTAGGGCATTACACTATTTGATTTACAAGCACAATCATGCAGAAATGCTTCACTTATGTCAGAGTCAACCGACCAGGTGATACCAACCTCCAGGAGCTGTCGTGCGGATGCCAGTTCACTGCCAAGCAGCTGCAGTGTGTCTGCAACGTCTTCAAATCTTGGTTCTCCCTCCCCCCTCCCATTGTCTGGCACCAGCAAATTCTTCACGTTCAAATCAACATACAGGCGTACCAGTGCTTGAGCGGTGAAGCAAGTATCAGTGTATAAAATCTGAATGGAAAAAATGTCACAATACAAAGACAGGTATACTTCTAGATTGTTCCTTATAAAGAGAAACGAGAGCAATTAATAACTATGTTTTAAAATAAACACATTATGTTACTCCGTAAATAAATAACCCCTCGACTAGTATCTACAGACACTAGAAGTGTTACTCCGTAAATAAATAACCCCTCGTCTAGTATCTACAGAAACTAGATAGGCTCATATTTTGTTCACGTCTAACAAACTGTTTGGCTTGCACAAATTTTGATTTCCAGTATTCCGTATTTCAATTATCAAATTGTCTGATATACAGGATAGATCAAAAAATGCCAGAACTTACAAAAACATTAATTACTTTTTAACTGTGTGAGATGAAAACTGAAACATTTTACTTCTTCAAGCCCCAAATTTTTCATAGTCCCTTCCTGTCTCTCAATTCTCAAAACAGTTTGAAAACAGACTGACCTGAACCCAATTTTTCAGTTTTCATCATTGTATCTGGGTAATTTCAACAAACACATGCAACGTCCTGACACTGAAAGTATTACCGTATCTTTCTCGACTCGTATCTCAAGAGCACGTTGCCATAACTTGATGCATCTCTGGTACTGAAGGGCATCTGCATAAGATGCTCCCCTGTACATTAATCGAAACACCGTGTCCTTATGATGAGGCCCCAGAACTCGCTCACATATCAACAGACTCTGAATCCTCATGATATCCAAGTCTAATGCAACATTCCTCAGATCCTCCATTGTTCTGAATTCCACTGCATTGCAAAATGCTGCTCTGGGCGGCATCACTGGTCGTTTTGGTATGGGTTCATTATCTGATGCCCCGAAGGTGTTACGTACGTGTGTGGCAATGCGCCAATGTCTTAATGCAGCTGCAGTATCATTATGTTCATCTAAGAAGGTCGAGCCCATAAGCTCATGGGCATCTGCCACACGTTCTAGGTTATACGTCACCTGACCAATGAGGTAATCAAAAATATGCGTAGCTCCTTTCAAACAAGCCGTCTGCAGAGCATCATCATTGTACCGGCTTCTTGCATGTGGATCTGCTCCATTATCCAGTAATAATTTTGTCGTCTCGAATCGATGTTCCTGAATGGCATAATGTAATGGTGTCTTGTTTTGAATGTCACTTGCATTTACTAATGCTCCATGTTGGAGTAGATATAAACACAGTTGAACACTCTGAATAGAATTAATGAGGCATGTACCACCATTGTAATTAGGGCGGAGAATGTCTGCACCATTCTCAACTAGATATGACACTATATCAAGGTGTGTCATGAAACAGGCACTACGAACAGGTGTTGAACCAGTGTCTGAGACTGAATTCACATTTGCACCATGCTCCACTAAACATTTAATAACAGCAAGCTTTCCTGACACTGCAGCACACCATAATGGTGTTACACAATGCACTGAGTGATCATCTGGTACCTCATACAGTCCACGTTGTTCCAAATCAACATTGCACACAGTGATAAGATATTCAACGATTTCTACATGTCCTCGTTTACAAGCTATAAACAAAGGTGCACACCCATCCTTTACACGACAAGCTATTTCCCTTCTAACCTCTCTACAGAATCGCTCTAACTGAATCCTTAGCTGATATGACAGTCTGGCTCCTGGGGCTGCATGTTTGCATTCTTCAATCAAGTCGAAGAAAAGTTCACCTTTCTGAGTGGCTAAATCTACTTTGCCAGTAAACCACATCATGTCGAGTTGCTTTCCTATGCCCTTGCTAAGCATATTGAATGCTTTCAGCTTTTCTGTAAGTAGTCGCACACTACGATGTATGAACGAGACGATTTCGCGTAGAACTTTCAATCTCAATGAAGTCTTGGGAAAATTCTTCAACGTTCGAATCTCATTACTCATGTGCCCTAACACTAGTCGAATTTAGAAATAGGAAGTCCTTACAATATAAGAATTGTTGACAAGATATTCGTTAAACATTACTATTAAACAACACATTATTCGAAGGCTTTATCCCAGATTTCGTAGAAGACAACTCTTATTGGCTAAGCTCTAGGTCACAGTTACACCAACATACGAACATAGATTTACATCCTTCTCAAATGCTGCCAACATTGCGCAGATATTACAAAACAATCGTCAAAATTTTACATCTTACAACAACAAAAATTGTAGTTCCTCAATTACTTTACCAAGATGAATATCGTGAACTTTTTGTGAATCATTTGGTCTCATAAATTAGAGGTTATAAAACACCTCTGCATGTTACCGGAAGTTTTGACGAATTAGTTATGGTCGGGCCGAAAATAAATAAAGAAGAGACGTGGTTTATAGAAACATTATCAAACCCTAAAATCACATTGTGGTACCTTGCATCTAGTGTCAGCCTTTCATCTCTACAATAGCTGTATTGTGCCACGTCTTCCGTCACACACACATAGCTGCCCAACCTCCAACCATATGTCCGCGGGCACCAAGCATTTGTGGTCTTGACCTTGGATGCAATTCGTCTCAGCATAAACACAGGAATTCTTGACACCTAATTAAATGTAAGTTGCATTAGATAATTTTCAATTTTAGAATCCTATTATAAACTATTTTAAATCAGATTTTAGATTCTCACGGCGGTGAAGATACCAACGTTTCGGAGGAACATACTGCCTTCATCATCAGCGCTGAATATGGAGGCTGTATGTTATTTAAATTTAATTAAGTTGACGTTTATTTTTTTAACATTTGATATGCGTTTCTCTCTCACACGCATCTGAACTTTCTCCTTTACTTGATCAGTCACGAATGGTGTCACGTGTGTGGCGAGAAAGTAAAAGCACTGCCAATCCAAATAATAAACTAAATGTAAGCTATATAAACATTTTACATAAAGTAGCAGGAAATTTAAACACCTCACAGGTGGTAATCCTGTGTATTGAAATTTGTAATATGAACTTTGAGGTTGTACCGTCACGTGTTAAGTCCTCAATTTAAAGTGAAAGTCTTTCTCCTCACCGAATTTCTTACAGGACTTCGAAAATCAGTCAGCAACGAGTCACCGTCGAGAGAGGGAGAGCAACAGTTAACGCGATGAGTACAGCAATTGTTTTCAATGACAGCTCAATAGACGCGCATCAGGAATTTAAAAAGTCTAGCAGGTGAGGCAACTTTACAAATACATTTATGTAAATTACTATCCGGGAATTAATTCTTGCATACGCTACATTTTCTAGATCCAGAGGGTTCAGATAAAGAAAAATATACTCTGCACTAAAGCAACACATTATAAAGGTTTATGGTGTAATTAAAGACATTGACAATCTTCTTATTTCATTCGTCGATATATAAATCGTGCTAAAATAAATAATGTAATACGGAACAAGAAGAGAAATTTCCCTATGTCTCGGGTGGTTCCTCTCAGTGTCTCGAACCTCAGTGTAGACAAAACCATAATTAAATAGCTGAATGATATTCAAGATTTCAAGGCGTGTTCTTGGCTGTTTTGACTTCCTCGCTGGTGTTAATTATAGAAACAAATCGATTGTTGCAAGTAAGCCTATTTTAATATGGCCACTGAACATCGCGGTCGATTAGTTACTAGGTTTAGATGAGAAACATTACAACTGCCTACATAACCTTACCATTATACTTTAATCTTACCCATTTTATAAAAGTAACTCATAAAAACCAGCGATATGGCACGGTTCCTTGCAATTTACCAGCCGACATTGGAAAAAAAAAACTCACAATACTTCGTTACGTCTATAGGAGCGAGCTCTCGTACGCACGTCTGGAAGGAGATGACGCCCGGAAACTGGACCGGATGTTCAACAGGCAAATGTGCCTTATCGAGGTGAACCCGGGACGTTTGTTGTTGCCACCGAAGTACGAGGAGCTGGGAGACCGTATCCGGGCAATGGAGGTTCGCACCAGCGACGTGTGGGTCATCTCGTACCCCAGAACAGGTATTCGATGTTACATGGTCTGAGCTGCTGGAAAAACGTCGTTAAATAAACTATAAAACAGTAAATAGAACAGGAGATGATAATGTTGCGTCATATTGTGATGATTATAATTGTTTAATTTTAACCGTCTAATCACAATAAAATATTTTATTAAATATTAAAATATTCAAATTCAAATTCAATTCTTTATTATTTGTGTGCTGCATCAACAGCCTGGTGGCCAATTATTACTACAATTAACATGCGTTTGCCGCTTTCACTGACTTGAAGGTCGTAGAAAGAGAAATGGAGTATCGCCTCAGACCTTAACTGGAGGAAAGGAACATACGAGCTTTCTTTTTTACCCTATTATCATACATTTCTCCAAAGCAAGAGACAACATTATACCCTAGAAATGTTATCTTCTGTAACACTTTACGAAAGTATTTCCGGAACATAAAAGTTTTGTGTTACATTCTCAGGTAGCACGTGGGTTCAGGAAATGGTGTGGTGCATTGGAAATGACCTGGATTTTGAGAAAGCAAAGACTCTTCAGCAGTTCAGGACTCCACTACTAGAGTGAGTAACCAATTCTGAATTTCTCAGTGTTAGAAAGTTTCAGGGATGTTAGAAGAACGGAAATCGAACATTGATAGATTTTTACTGACATTTCAGTGGTTCTTGATGTATCCATCAATAGACTAGGACCTTTGAGAAGTTGGTAAACGTCTACCAGCCTACGTGGTACTAAATTTCAGATGTTAATCTTCACAATTGCCACTGCGAGAACCTGAAATCCTACTTACCACCTCATTTGCGTACAGTCTAAAGACGTGTTTTGTAATATTAGGTGTTACCACAAAGAAATTTTTCTTCAAGAAAGATACACAAAAGGTGGAGTCTTCCTATTTGTAGGCTGACAGCGCTGATGGCTCACGATGACGGGGAGTGGATGGACGAACTTGGGAACTCCGTAGATCTAGTAGAAAGCATGCAGTCACCTAGATTCATCAAAAGCCACCTAATCTGGGAGTTGCTTCCGGTTGAAATTGACACAGTAAAGCCAAAGGTACGAGTACTGAATTTGACGAGGTCTCTCGGACAACCTGTGAATATTTAGAGCACGTGATTTGTCAATCTGCTGTTAAGCACATTTATGTACTTAATTAAGTTACACATCACAAAATGAAGACGTATGGCGGAGTTGAGGTGTAACTCCATGCATTCGAAACCTATGTTTCTTGATTTTAAAAGCTTCCTGTGTCTTCAATATCCTGTCAACAGGTGGTGTATATAGCAAGGAATCCTAAGGACATGTGCGTGTCCTATTATCATTACTGCAAATTGGTTCATAATATGAAGGGTTCATTTGAAGACTTCTGTGAGCTGTTCCTGAAGGGTCGAGGTAAGACACTTTCCTGACGCCGTCGGATGGATTATAAAACTCTTAGAAATATCCCTGTCTTCTGGATTCCAGCATCACGTAGTCTGGTGGAAGTTTATGATGTTTCAGTCGCCCTGATTATGGATGCGGCAAGTACCTCTGAAAAACATAAGTTAACTTCTGCGCTATAATCCAGAAGACAGCCATCTTCATACTCACCACCATGAAAACCTCAAATTCTTCCATGAAATCAATAAAAACTAAAAAAGACTTTTTAAATATTGATCTAGTGGTTAAGAAAATTAAATTAAATTCTTCGGTATTAGAACCCGAAAGTTTGACAATGCAAATCCCAAAGCCGACGTTTCGACTCAATCCCGCACTAGTCCCTTCCGTCTTCATTCTCGTAACCACTTATGCTCCGTCAATCTTACAAGCGGTCACTTTTGAAGACGTTTCCCAACCAAAATTTTGTATCTAGTTCTTACCTATCCACCCTAGCTACAATCCCAGTTCATTGGACCATTGTTTACATTTGACAGGGTTGATTTACTTTCTTCCAGTACCACTTGGGC